AAAGAAAGAAAGAAAGAAAGAAAGAAAGAAAGAAAGAAAGAAAGAAAAAAGAAGAAACCACCCTACTGAGGGCTGCAGAATTATGCAGCCTTTAACGTTTCAGATTGGTGACCCTTCCTAGACCCAGTTGATGTGTAAGCCCTATTTCGGAAAACTGGAAACTCAGTCAACAAACACATTTACTCACAGGTTTGGTGAAAAGTAGTTTATTGTAGATTGTTTTCTTCTAGTGGGCAAACAACGGCAATCCCGAGCAAAGCCAGAGCTGAGAGTAAACGCCTCTCAGCGCCTTTTATGCCCCATCCCCTTCCCATTCCCAAACTAGCATCCGCCTAACTAATTAACCCCACACGCCACTGCCCCGCAATCCTAATCGCAACTACATCCGATGCCCAGAACACACCTAACCCCGAAGTGCTGACTCATAAGCCAAAGAAAAGGAAACCACAATAAGATGAGTTCCCCCCCATCATCGCTGGAATGCAATACAATCCTTGCGTCCTGCAATTAAAGATAGTTTGGCAGGAACTTGCAATGGATCCACATCATTACACACTATAACTGGAACAGCCAACAGTCCCGTGTTGTTTCAGCGAGGGGAACAGCTAGTCGGGTAGGAGGCGCAGATTCAGAGACTCATCTCCCACTCCCTATTAGGTGGCTGGCAATGTGTCGGGCACGATCAGTGAAGCCCGACATGATGCTTCTTATTGTATCTACAGTACATGAGTTTCAGTCCCAAAGATGCTCCTTCTCCTCAGGAGCCCAACCTTCAATTCTGGATGAATACTTCTGCACCCTTTCACTCTTTGTTCCTCAGCATCCTTCTTACATTGGATCACAAGCTATTGAACCAGATCAGAACCAAGAACAACAGTTGCAGTTATGCTGCAACGGTCATAAGTGTGAAAAATGGTCATGTGACTTTTTCAGTGCCATTGTAACTTTGAATGGTCACTAAATGAACTGTTGTAAGTCAAGGATTACCTGTACAAAAATATAAAAAACTTCTTTGCTTGCAAAAAGCTGCCCTAAATATCAATCATTAGATGAAAAATACCTGCAAGCCAGAGTTACAAATCAGGCAGGGTGCCAGAGCACCTTGAGGAATTAAAATAGTTAAAATGCAGTGATAACTATCAAGCAGCCAACTCTTGCTCATAAAGTGAAACCCTTTAGCAGAGAGGTCATTTAAGCTCTCCAGAAAAAGCAGACCCAGGAAAACTAATCTTTAGATCCATTTGCACCATTTAAAATACCAGGTGATCTCACTCACCTCACAAGATATCCTAAGGAAATCATCCAGATTTAAGGAAAGGTCACATGACCCCCAGAAAGGCAGTAAAAAAAATCAGTGCTAAGCTTGCATCCTGCCTCTTGGAAGTATACCCCAAAAGGACAGTGCCAGATAGTATTAAAGCAGTGAAGGAAGACCCCCTTCCCCAAATAAAAAAAAGAAACCATGAGGCAGGAAAAAATCCAAACACAATACAAATAATTAAATCACAACAGTAACTGTCGCTTGTTGAAGCTGAATAGGGAAAATTATCCCATCAATAAACACAGGATTAAACTTCACCAAGCACAGAATTAAGCTTCACCAAAAATCACTTTTAGACCAAAACTCAGAAAGGGTATGTAAACTCATGTTTGAATGTTAATCCTTCTAGCTAGCCAAAGAGCCTTGCTGAATATCACTCATCTGGTTCCTTGTCACTAAAATGTTTGCTTCATTATTCAATGATTTCTTCAAAGTGCTGATTGTCCAGGGAAGTATTTCCTCCCAACAGCAGTGTAAAAATCTTAAAACATCCCTTCCCCTTTAAGAAAGTCAAGCCCCAAAAGCTCCCGAGACAGTAAGTCTAGGCTGTCTGCCAAGAATATAATAAGGGTGGAAAAAAACAAAAGGAGATTGCTTCTAACCACTGGTTCTCCGAACTGCTTAGAAAGTTAACAAGGGGTTCTATAGAACCGGATAGAATCAGTAGAATCCCACCCCTGATGCCAGGGAATGTAAACAAGACATTTGGATTATATAAGATTAAACCACCTGTAGTTTTATCCATACCGATTCCAGTAATTTCACTAAACCAGGTAGAATGGACTGAATAGACTTATAGATGCTGTTTTGTAATGTGGAATGGGTCCAGATGCTTTAAAACTGTCAGTTTTATTAGATTTTTAAAAATCCTGCCTTTATTAGTTTTATAAGTAACTCAATGCAGTAAACATACATAATACTCCTTCCTCCTCCTATTTTCCCCACAACAACCCTGTGAGGGGAGAAAGGATGGGCTGAGAGGGTGACTTTGGCTGGCTTTCAGTCACCCTCTCAGAACTCACAATCTCCTGGTTTCTAGGCCAGCACCTTAAGAAATTCTAGACAGTAACTATTTATCCAATCTCAAGTTCTTTCCTCCAGGTACTTTTTTGTGGAGCAAGTTACATGGACTCATAATTTTTTTTTTTTTATCTAGGCTTGGTACCAAAAATAGCCTGATTTTTCTCTGATAGAAGATCTCTATTAAGTAACGGAGTCTTGAAGATTCTCCAAGACCCATCATCAGCTTTGATGATTCTGGTTACAGTGTATTGGTAGCATCATTAGTGAACTATATTTGAAGGCTGGATGCTATTATTTCACTCTGATCTTTAGGAGAAAGTTTCAAAAGGCAGAATTAATGGCCATTTTAAACAGATTCTACAGAACCTTTTGGTGGATTCCTGTGACATTCTATCCGATGTCCCACATTCTTAAAAAGTTATATGAAGCATTTGGACGAGATCAGGCAAAGGTTTTAGACTGGCTGAAGTGTTATCAGTCTTCAGTAACATGCAACTGTATACCTATCAGACACATAAATTAGGTGAGGATGCTGAACGGGAAAGACCAGTGGTGGGATTCAAATTTTTTTACTACCGGTTCTGTGGGCGTGGCTTGGTGGGCGTGGCAGGGGAAGGATACTGAAAAATCTCCATTCCCTCCCCACCCACTAGGGGTGAGTGAAAAATCACCCCTATATTTAAAGACTGCTGCTATCAGAATCCCTTAAAAGTAATAGCAATTGGAATTTAAGCAAGGAACAAGCCATGAAGACCTTATCAGTAGATTTAATAAGGAAAGGTTTAAATGGAAAACACAAAAAGCACCTATTAGTATGTATAGATGAATCAAAGCATGTTTTTATGTAAGCAAGAGAAGCTCTCTCTCCTGAGAAGGCAAATCAGCCCATAACCAAACATTGATTTACACCAGCGGTCGCCAACCGGTGGGCCGTGGCCCTCTGGTAGGCCACGAGAAAATTTTGGTGGGATGCAGAGAAATCTCACCCCCAGAGCACCCCGCAAAACAATTAATCCAGGCTGTGCAGGAACACAAGGCTGCACCACCCACATGGCCCGTGGGAACCCTCCCCGCCCACTCACTCCTTACCTGGCAAACTTGCCTGCTAAATTGCTATTTTTCCTTTTTTTTTTTTTCTGAC